TGGTCGATAGTGTTGAAATCATTAGAGATCATGTATTATGTCGTGGGTTTAGGCAATTATACCATGTGTGGATTTGGCACGGAGAAAGTGGAGAGTACAGTGGGGATATTGATCGGAATGATGTGCGTGTTAGAAGCAATGAGATTCATATGGACGAGGAATACGAGAATGATGAGTATATTGTTGATAATGGTGAGGATGGAGCCGATGATGATCAGGCGGATGAGGTCGAGGATGAACAAGTGGATGAGATGTTTCATGGTGTTGAAGGTGAAGTGTTTGAGTTATTATCAGAGGCTTCCAAAAAGCCTTTGTATCTCGGGTGCAAAAAATACTCCAAATTATCGGTCGTGCTAACACTTTTCAACATTAAATCGATGCATGGGTGGACGGACATCAGTTTTACTTCTTTGTTGACCGCATTAAGTGATATGTTGCTTGATGGGAATGAAATTCCTAAGTCTTACTATTACGCAAAGAAGCTCATGTGTCCCTTTGGTTTGGAGTATAAGAAGATACATGCATGTCCTAATGACTGTATTTTGTATCGAAATGAGTATGAACAACTGCAGGAGTGTCCACGATGCAAGTGGTCGCGGTACAAGCGCATGAGTTAAAATCCTGGCACGGAAGGACCTCTTGCTAAGGTGTTGTGGTATCTTCCCATTATTCCAAGGTTTAAGCGTCTGTTCTCAATACCAAAAGACGCTAAAAACTTGAGGTGGCATGCAGAGGGAAGAAAGAAAAACAGAATGCTGAAGCATCCAGCTGACTCTCCACAGTGGAAGAACATTGATTTGAAGTTTGAGGAATTTGGTAATGAAGTCAGAAATTTAAGGCTTGGGTTGTGCACGGACGGGATGAATCCATTTGGCACTCTTAGTACCCAACACAGCACACGGCCGGTACTTTTAGTGATTTAAAATTTGCCTCCTTGGCTGTGCATAACGTAAGTATGTAATTCTTTCATTGCTAATAACTGGTCCTAAGCAACCTGGAAACAACATAGATGTTTACCTTGCGCCGCTTATTGACAACTTAAGAAAGAAGTGGGACGAAGGGGTTTCCGTTTTCGATGCTCATCAGAACGAGATGTTCACATTGCGTGCAGCCCTTATGTGGACCATGAATGACTTCCCTGCATATGGAAACTTGTGTGGGTACAAGGTCAAAGGGAAAAAGCATGCCCCATATGTATTGATGACACATCAAGCGTATACCTGACTCATTCTCACAAAGATGTCTACCTACGGACTCGAAGGTTCCTTAGGCGTGATCACCCGTACCATAGGCAGAAAAAGGCTTTCGATGGAACCGTGGAAGAGGATACTGCGCTAAACAATTGACTGGTGCTGAGATTAGTGCTCGGGTGAAAGGGATACGAACGGTGTTTGGAAAATCAGAAAAAAACTGTGGTCTCAGCTGCTCTGTTTAAGAAAGAATCAATCTTTTGGAAGCTTCCGTACTGGAGAGAACATGACGTTAGGCATTGTCTTGATGTGATGCATATAGAGAAGAATGTGTGTGATTCTCTTTTGGGGACGCTTATGAATATCCCAGGCAAAACAAAGGACGGAAAGGGTGCACGGTTAGATTTGAAAGAGATGGGGATTCGTCCAGAATTGTGGCCTCAAGAAAAGGTTAGAAAGAGGAAGGAGCCAAGAATAGAAGATGAAAATGTTTTGAAAAAAGGGAGAAGATCAAGGGAAAGGGAAAGGCCAAAGATGCGTCAAAGAAGAAAGTTAAGGGTAAAGGGAAGGATGAAAAGAATTATTTACCCCCAGCTTGCTATACATTGTCAAGGGTAGAGAAACGTATGTTTTGTGCATGTCTGTACGGCATTAAGGTTCCATCAGGGTACTCATCTAACATGAAAAGATTTGTAACCTTAAATGGAGAATTGAAGTTGACAAGTATGAAATCCCATGATTGTAACATTATGATACAAGTATTCCTACCGATTGCAATCCGTGGTATTCTACCGAAACACGTGAGGGAAGCGATTATAAGCCTTTGTTCGTTTTTCAATACAATTTGTAGCAAAGTTCTTGATCCTTGTACACTAGATTCTTTGCAAGCAGATGTGGTTGTGACTTTGTGCAAATTTGAGATGTATTTCCCACCCTCATTTTTTGACATAATGGTTCATCTGGTTCTTCATTTGGTGCGTGAGATTAAGTTGTGCGGTCCAATGTTCATGAGGTGGTGCTACCCTTTTGAAAGACACATGGGTACATTACAAGATAAAGTACGGAACCGGGCTCACCCTGAAGGAAGTATGATGCAAGGGACAGTGGGTGAGGAGATAGGTAACTTTGTGGCGGGCTACATAGCCCTTGCTCAACCTATTGGTCTTCCTACTTCTCGACATGAAGGTAGACTTGATGGTCATGACACAATTGGGTCGAAACAAATGTCACCAGACCAAGATCAGTTCTTACAAGAACACCTTTATGTGTTGCACCATGTTTCATATGTGCACCCATATTTAGACGAGCACATATGCAGTTGCATAATAAGAGATTTGTTGATTGGTTTCATGATCGAGTAATGAGTGGATTGAATGATACTAATGTGACCGATACAGTACGGTGGCTTGCGTACGGTCCTAGGGATGATGTCCTTTCATTTGAGGGATATGCCATCAATGGGTACACTTTTTGGACCGAGGCTCGTGATTTGAAATCTTCCTCCACCCAAAACAGTGATGTAACTCTTGTGGCATCGTCAAGGGAGTTTGCAAGTTCTAAGGATAAATCACCTGTCGATGCAGAGTTTTCATACTATGGTCGAATTCAAGAAATATGGGAGCTTGATTATTGTGACTTCAAACATGAGGACTTTACTCTTGTAGATCTTGGCAACTTGAATGTTAGTGCGGAACCATTTATCCTTGCATCTCAAGCTAAGCAAGTGTTCTACGTAACTGACCCAATGGATTCAAAATGGTCTATAGTGCTAGCTGGCAAAAGAAGAATCCTAGGCATTGGAGATGTTGAGGATGAGGAAGAATATGATGCGTTTGATGATTCAGCACCTTTCACTGTTCCTAGACCTGTTGTACTAAATGACATAGACAACGAAGTAGGTTATATGCGATCAGACCACAACGAAGGAATTTCAGAATGAGGTAGTTTGATTAAAAGTTAGTAATGGTTTCATTGCAAATATAGTTTAGTTATCATGTATATAGGAGCATAAGTAGGCGAAAATGATATATTTGTAGTTTGAAATTGCCTATGTGTACTCATTATCATGCATATACAAGTTTATAGGACCATGAGTAGGTGAAATTGGCTTAAATAGCTTCTACTTAACCCAATTCTTTTGTTTTGTGTATGAACTAACATTTATTCATTCTAACAACCTATATTCAATATATTTAACATGTTTGTAGATTGAAATTGCCATTTTGTACTCATTATCATGCATATACAAGGTTATAGGACCATAATAACTAGGTGAAAATGCCTTAAATAACTTCTACATAACCATAATAACTATCATGCATATACTTTACTATGCACTAATATTGTTTTATGATTGCTTTGACAGGTGCTTATATCTCATGGCGGACGATCATGATCCTCATTTGGTAGAGGACATTGACGATGATGAGTATGAGGACGAGTACGAGTACGAGGATGAGGACGAGGATGATAGTGATGTGCCTTATGATGTGAATAAGGAGGATGACTTTGGTGAGCCAGAGGATCAGGCTCAAGATGAGTTCGAGCGTAGGCTTGACGATTTTGAAAATTCAGCTGAACGTGCACCGGCCATTGTAAATACAACACGTGAGATTGTTGGTGAGAACCCGACTCCTGAAAGTCAAGGCCAAAGACAAGATGAAAACTACACAGGTGGTGGAGGGGGGGAAAAGGCACCGGCTCAAAGAAAAAGACGGTGTCCGACGAGAAGCTTTAAGAAACCGGACGGTCCCATGGTCTTGGAGTATGACAACAAAGGCCAACCCGGGCCCAAATGGCGTCGACAATATGCTAATCAAGTTGGCATATGTTCGCGGAAAATCCCCATTACACTTGTAATGCGGCAAGTACCTCCGGGTTTGATTCAAGCATTTTGGGATGATACAAGGGTAAGTGTGTTTTTGGCACATTTAGACAATTTAAGATACCTTAACCTTATGGTTGTTACTAAATAGAAACTAATAATCTGTTTTAATTATTTGTGTTTGTAGAGGCTGTTTTCTATTCCTAATGATCCCGAGAAGAGAAGGGTGTTTGAATCTTTATTAGCGGAAAGATTCAGAGGCTTTAAGACCAAGTTGACTAATCGGTGGATCTACAAGAAGAAGAAGGTGAAAACAAAGATGAAGAATGCTGAAGAGGATGACCATCTCCCGTGGCAAATATGGCTGACCGTGTCAAAAGATGATTGGGAAGGGTTCGTTATAATGAAGACTCAAAAGAAAGCCATCGTAAGTTTGTGTAAATATGATCTCAATTGAATAATAGCTTGACACTTTTTGTAGCAATGAGACTAACATTTTTTGTTTTGTAGGAACTTCTAGAGCAAAATAAAGCGAATGCAGAAAAGAAGGAATACGTCCATCATATGGGTCCTAAGACTTTTGGTGAAAAGAGACCTGAGTGCACTAGGCGAAAATATGAATTGGCCACCGGTTCAAAACCCCCCAATGCCACCGGTTTTGAACCGGTGGTCATTTGGGGGGTGGCAATAATCTTCTAAAAAGCCACCGGTTCAAAACCGGTGGCAAAAACAAGTATTGCCATCGGTTAACCGGTGGCAATAATGTTTCCTGCTTTTTTTTTGGATATTACATATAAATGCCACCGGTTAACCGATGGCAATAACATACATGATTGATTTTTTTTTTTTTCTAAAATTATAATGATAATAGTAATATAAAAAAAACCGTGTAAAATATCAGGCAAATACAGTAGGAGAGGAATGAAATATAATTTCATTATATTCAACAATAACAGTAATTGTACAATACAAAAAAAAAATTACAATGAATTATAATAACAATGAAATTCAACTTCAAATTATTATTGTACAATACAAAATAAAAAATATATATAATAATAATTACAATATCAAAAACATTATTCCAAAATCAAAGTCTTGAATCTTGTTGCATCAATTAACACCTTCATCAATTAAAACCCAAAAATTAATAAACTCACAAAAAAATGCCTAACAAAACATAGAATATCGGTTAACAAAATAAAACCCAGAAAATTCGCCTAATAATAATCGCATAAAAAATTAATACGAAAAGGATGAAAACCCAAAAAAAAAAATATTGTCTGTAGATCCGAAAAAACAAGAACTTTAGATCCGAAAAAAGTAATGAAAATTAAAGGATGAAAACCCCAAAATAAATCAACTAAAATTAGTTTTAAAAAACCCAGAAAAAAACCCACAAAAATAAAAAGAAAAACCCCGAAATTGATTTTCATGAACTCAGAAAAAAAAAAAAACCCATAATTAAAATCGAATTAAACCTAAGATATTGAATAAAAATCGAATAAAAAACTCAGAAAATTCCAAAATCGATTTAAATGAAATTAAACCCTAACCTCGAATAATTAAACCCACCCACCACCATAACCACAACCACCACCACAACCTACGAATTCCATCAAAAATAAAATAAAAAAAAAACAAAATAAGAGTAAGAAAAAAGAAAAAATACCTCGAATTTCACCAAAAACCCCCCGAATTTATGTTGAATTTGGGTTATAAAACTAGGTGAAAATATGAATTGGCCACCCAATAAAACTCAGAAAATTCGATTAAAAAAACCCAGAAGAAATCGATTTAAAAACCCAGATAAATTGGATTTAAAAACCTAGAAAAACAAAGAAGAAATCGAATAAAATAGATTAAAATTAAATCAAATAAAGTTCGAATTAAAATCGAGTAAAACAGAATTAAAATCGAATTAAAATTTTTTAAAAAATCGAATAAAATCAAACCCTAACCTCGATTAAAGTCGGTGTTGCTCATGCATGTGTTCGTGGTGTTATTTTAGCGGCGGTGGTGTTATTGTTGCGGGGGTGGTGGAAAAATTGGTGGTGGTGGTGGAGATCGAAGGAGAAGAGGTGGTGGTGAGATCGAGGGAGAAGAGATGGTGGTGGAGATTGAGGGAGAAGAGATAGTGGTGGAGATAGAATGAGAAGAGGTGGTGGTGGTGGTGCAGATCGAAGGAGAAGACCGATTGAAGGAGATGAGAAAGAGAGGAGAGAGAAAGAGGAGGAGAGGGAAGAGGGGAGAGAGAAACGGCTGAGAGGGTGAGAGAGTAGGGTTTGGGGTTTATATGAAGAAGAAGGGCCGCGCTTTTTTTTTTAATCAAATATTGCCACCGGTTCAAAACCGGTGGCCTTAAACATTTTTTCCACTGGTTCGGTTTGAACCGGTGGCAATAATATTTGCCTTATACCCGCCCATTTTATAAACCACCGGTTTATAAAAACCGATGGCCTTTAAGCGGTGGCATTTTTAATTTTTCTACTAGTGGTGGGTCGGTTCGGGTTTATACCCTGAAGCGCTTCTAGTGGCATCGAAGGAACCCTCTAGTTCCACGATCACTACATTGGTGAGTCGTGCCGGTGATTTCTTTTGTTCTCTCCATTCGTTTGATAAGAAAACCGGAAAATGGGTCATCAAGGGTCCGGAAGCCAAAAAACTGGCGGATAAGCTTGTAAGTTACCTATGAATTGTTGAAATTAAGTCACTTTTGCATCTAAATCACTGTACAAACCATTAACTGTTTTACTGACCTCATTTTTCCTTATGCTATAGCTTGAGCACACTCAAGAGATGGTGGAGGGCAAATTTGAACCAAGTGTAGAGAATGACCCTTTCACCATGGCTTTGGAAAGGCCATACCATCCCGGACGAGTAGTAGGTTCGGGAGGATCATTGCATGGATGGAACCAGGTGATGGGTAGATCTCAAGCCAGTGTTAACTCACTGGGGGAGTTGGATGCCAAGGTGGCATCAATTAAGGAACAAGTACGCAACGAGTTAGTTGGTGAATTGAATACTTGGGCGAAGCTGATGCCGTTCCTCACGAGTACCCCGGTCGACTCATGTTCTGAACCAAAAGGACAAGGAGAAGGTGATTGACATGGAGGAGATGAGATACGTGGTAAAGATGTGCCACCTGAGGTAAAATAAATTGGGCTATTAAAAGTTTTAAAATACCGAGTTAATTGAGATTTGAGGTGCAATGATTGATGTACTGTTGCAGGTTCCTACTCCTACACATGCGGACTCGAGGGAGCTTGAAAATCTAACACCGCATGAATTTCCAGGTGATTTGTAACCCTCTACCTTAATGAATTTTGTTATAATATCTAAGCTATTATGTTGTAAAAGTCCTATTTAACAATCTTCTTTTTATATATATACTTGTGTAGGAAGACACCTAGTGTGCACTTCAGCCCCGGGCATGCAAATAGTTCTGCGTTGAGTTGGGTGGCGTATGGTAGTGCCCAACCGACGACGGGTGCTACGGCGGGGCCACATCATTACTCGGTTGGGATTGATTCAGTGGTTGCAGGGTTCGAAGACATCCCACTACCCGTACCGATAGAGGAGGTTGAGATAACAACGCTTTGGCAAGCTGTAGGTAGCTTCGTTGATTGGCCACGTGCATGGGTGAAGTTGATTAATAAGGAGGTAAATTATTTAGTTCTCAATTTTTGTTAGTGTTAAACTGTTAGACACTCTTAAAATAAAACCGCCAAATATATATATATATATATTTTTACAATATGCAAGGTCCGCCAAATTGATTTCAAATGGCTCAAAATTTTTTTTTTAAAAAAAAATTTGCAAGTTCCGCCGCCCCAGGACACCCGAAGGAGCCGCCCCCGCTGCCGAAACAGCAAAGGAAGCCCGCGCCGAGGCCACAAAAGCCCTGACAGGTGGCTGCCAAGGCAGTAGCAGCCACGGCAGGTGGCTGCCAGACTGCTGCAGCCTCGGCAGCAGCCTGCCTGGGCTGCTCCAGCCTCGACATGCGGCTACCATGGTTGCTGCAGCCTCGGCAGCACCTGTCTGTGCTGCTACAGCCATGGCAGCCACCTGTCGAGGCAGCAGCAGCCCAGGCAGGCTGCTGCCAAGGCTACAACAGACTGGCAGCCACCTGCCGTGACTGCTACAGCCTTGGCAGCCACCTGTCGGGGCTGCTGTGGCCTCGGCGTGGGCTGCCTTTGCTGTTCCGGCACCGGGGCGACTCCCTTGGGTGTTCCGGTGCGGCGGAAGTTGCATATTTTTAAAAAAAAAATTTAAGCAATTTTCATCATTTCATCAAAATCAAGGTCATTTGAGCCGAAATGGCTACTCACTTGCCTATTTTATTCATTTCTCAACTAATAAACTAATACATTATGAAACCATATCATAATTACATATGTATAAGTGATTGTGAGTTGAAATTGCATAAAAGAAGCAAAGTTCTAATTTTTTTGGCGCATTTCATCAAAATAAAGCCAATTCGAGCCGAAATGGCTACTTACTTGCCTATTTTCTTCATTTCTCAACTTATAAACACCTTGCATCTCAAAAAGACTCATAATAACATATTTATAAGTGTTTTTCATTTGAAATTACATTAAAATTGCTAAGTTCTAAGGTTTTGGGTCCAATTCATCAAAATCAAGGTCATTAGAGCCGAAATGGCTACTCACTTGCCTATTTTCTTCATTTCTCAACTAATAAACTTATACATTCTCAAACCATTTCATAATTACATATTTATTAGTTATTGTGAGTTGAAATTGCATAAAAGAAGCAAAGTTATAATTTTTTTGGCGCATTTCATCAAAATAACGCCAATTCGAGCCGAAATGGCTACTTACTTGCCTATTTTCTTCATTTCTCAACTTATAAACTCCTTGAATCTCAAAAAAACTCATAATCACATATTTATAAGTGTTTTTCATTTAAAATTACATTAAAATTGCTAAGTTCTAAGGTTTGGGGTCCAATTCATCACAATCAAGGTCATTTGAGCCGAAATGGCTACTCACTTGCCTATTTTCTTCATTTCTCAACTAATAAACTTATACATTATCAAACCATTTCATAATTACATATTTATTAGTGATTGTGAGTTGAAATTGCATAAAAGAAGCAAAGTTATAATTTTTTTGGCGCATTTCATCAAAATAACGCCAATTCGAGCCGAAATGGCTACTTACTTGCCTATTTTCTTCATTTCTCAACTTATAAACTCCTTGAATCTCAAAAAAACTCATAATCACATATTTATAAGTGTTTTTCATTTGAAATTACATTAAAATCGCTAAGTTCTAAGGTTTGGGGTCCAATTCATCACAATCAAGGTCATTTGAGCCGAAATGGCTACTCACTTGCCTATTTTCTTCATTTCTCAACTAATAAACTTATACATTCTCAAACCATATCATAATTACATATGTATTGGTGATTGTGAGTTGAAATTGCATAAAAGAAGCAAAGTTATAATTTTTTTGGCGCATTTCATCAAAATAAAGCCAATTCGAGCCGAAATGGCTACTTACTTGCCTATTTTCTTCATTTCTCAACTTATAAACTCCTTGCATCTCAAAACAACTCATAATCACATATTTATAAGTGTTTTTCATTTTAAATTACATTAAAATCGCTAAGTTCTAAGGTTTTGGGTCCAATTCATCAAAATCAAGGTCATTTGAGCCGAAATGGCTACTCACTTGCCTATTTTCTTCATTTCTCAACTAATAAACTTATACATTCTCAAACCATATTATAATTACATATGTATAAGTGATTGTCAGTTGAAACTTATTATTTCTCAAACTATTTCAGATTTCGAATGGAAGCAAAACTTCAAAGAGAAAGAGGGTGGAGAAGCCTAAAAGAATTGATCAACCTAAGAAGAAGTTAAGTGAACAACGGTCCAAGAGTGAACAAGCGTCGAAGTTTCACTCTTCGAAAGGTTCACCCATGCCACCTACTCCACTTGTTGAAGACATATTTCTTCAATCGCTCTCTGCTGACATGACCTTTTTTCACAACCGTGCTTTTCATTTGATCGATCCCATGGAAGTTGCACTTCCTAAGGCAATGTTCCACTATGATGAGGATGCAATTGCATGGATCAACAAAGAAGATGTGAAGGAATTTCTACGTGGTGCAAATCTTAACATTTCCATCATTCAAACATTCATGAGGTACTTTAGTGCCCACATAATCTATACTTTTTTCAAGTTATTCAAATTGATGCTGATTATCCTACATCTGATAAATTATTCAATGTTCATGCACGCAGAGCACTACAGGAGCACTTAACTGACACTGATTCTCCTTGTAAAGTTGGATGGTTATGCCCCGAGCAGTTATCCACTACTAGAATCATAGGCAACCCCATGACGTGTTGTACTATGTTGAACAGAGTATCAGGGAATCAGCGCGTGCGGGAGACAAGTTCATATTCGCCCCATGTTATAGAGAGTAATTCTAGCCATGACAAATTCAATCGATTTGGCCTCATTATATGTTGACTCCTAAATATTAATTACCTTGTCTATAGTGAACTTATGTAGGGAGCATTGGAGCCTCATGGTGATTTGTAATTCCACTAACACAATTTATCACCTTGATTCAGCTCGATCATCGGAGAAGTGGCTCGTGAAGTCTATATTGCAAAAGTAAATATATATAGTAACCTAGTGATGATTATTGCTAATAATAACTAATTTAGTAATCATACGACTAATCAAATTTGAACGTACTTTTTTTTTACTACAGTGTTATGAAGAAGCTACATTGTCGTGCTCCAAAGGGTCCAACATGGAAGTCACCGTTGGTAATTTACATGACATTGTGATTATCTTGAAAATCTATGTTAGTAAATATTTGCTCATTTCCTTTGCATGTTTCACTGATGTGATTTGTTTTTCATATGCCAGTGCACACAACAAGAGAATGGACTTGATTGTGCTTTGTATGTGATGAAATTCATGCTTGACATTGTGACTCATTGTACGGACACTCAACAGCTTGATGAGGTAAGTCCTAAAACTTATTGAAATTCTATATTTCATTTGATAAGTAATGTAGAAAATGGGCTACATAGAAGTCAAATAGGCCCCATTTGGGCCATGTTGAGTAAAATGCATTGTTAAACTTATTGAAATGCTATATTGATGTGATTTCTAGCCTTAGACACCTAATATTACCCAATAATGACATGTTATGAGAAACAAAAAGGCTATTTCACAAGAAAGGTAGAAAATGGGCTGAATAGAAGTCATATGGGCTATATTAGGGCCATTTTGTGTTAATATGCTCTTTTGATGTGATTTCTTTCCTTATACACTTATAACTAGATAATATTGACATGTTATGAGATAAATAAAGTTTATTTAATGAGAAATGTAGGAAATGGGCAAAGTAAAGTCATGTAGGCCATATTCGGGCCATTTTGAGTAAAAAGCATCATAAACCTTAATAAAATGCTCTCCTATACAATTTTAGGGCTTACACACATACAAATA